TGGCTAATATTAAGAATATCAATTGTTTTGTTTATAATAATGATCGTATATACTATATATTGGATTCCACTAATAACTATTTCATTATAACTCTAATAAATATAATGAAGTAAATATCTACAACAATTCCAACTCAAAAGTATCAAAATGAGTTTGCAAATATTTATGTGATATTTAATATTTTATTTCGATATTTATCTAAATGTATTTGCTTCAACCATAGATATTAAATAGTTGTTAATTAAATATATCTAATTGCCACATGTTATTTTCTAAATGGACACTGAGGTGGTTAAATTCATAACTCATGTTTGATATTTTGTTGTGCATGATTGCATAATGTATTTTTACACTCTGAAAGATGAAATATCAAAATACCTCATTTCATAACTCTATTAGAATTAAAAATTACTATTTTTGAGTATGAAAATGGTGGTTAAATGTTTTGATAGCTCATTTAATAATCCCACTCGAAGTGCTCTTGCCGTAAATAGTTTGTATTAATAATTCCCCTAATGTTTGTTTTCGTCTTACACCGACCCCCTTATGGTAAGATTTTTCAAGGAATTTTTTTATTACGTGGAATATTCCAATAATGCTTATTACATATACCCTGCACACACGGCATTTCTTTATGGTACTTTTTAAAGACAAAATTTACCCTTACGTGAACTTTACACGAAATCTTTATTCTTCTCAAATAACACTTTCACAAATTTTTATTATTACCGTGACAACCATGAGGGTAATTTTTTAGTTTAAAAAGTACGATAAAAGAAATGTCTCGTCTGCCAGGGTAGACTCCATATTTTTTGGGACATTACATGGAATAAAAAAGAATCCGTAAAAAAATCACACCATAAGGGGGTTGTGTAAGACAGAAACAAGCATCAGAGGGTTTTTGGTATAATCACCGATAAGTGGAGGTGTTTTCTATAATTTAGCCTAAGTTGAAGGATTTTCATAATTTATCTTATTAATAATGATTATTGTTCTTTTACGTCTTAACGTTTGTTTATACCCTTATAATATTTTAAATAATTTTAATGTCAGTTTGATTATATGATTAAATATTAATTTCTAATATATTTAATATGTGTTTTTTTATGGTTCAACTACCACACATAAGAAATTTGATATAAAGATTCGAGATTGAATATAAATGTTCTTTTTTATACTAAATAATAGATCATTGCAAAAAGAATTGTTGCAAAATCAGAATTTGTGATTAATATTAGCATTAGAATTAGAATTAGAATTATAATTAAGATTCTTTGAATTAGTATTAGTATTAATACTAGAAATAGGATTCAGATTGTTATTAGGATTAATATAATATTAGGATTATGATTAATATTAGTATTAGAATTATAATTAAGATTATGATTATGCTTAGTACGATAATTAGTGACATGCATTAGCATTAGGATTATGATTAACATTAGGATTGGGATTAGAATTATAATTAAGATTAGAATTATAATTAACATTAGCATTATTAGTATTAAACTTATTAGGCTTATGATTAGTGTTAGGAATAGGATTATGGTTAGGATTACGATTAGAACTATTATTACTGTTATGAATAGAATTATGAATACGATAAGGATTTCGATAATATTAGAATTACAATCATAATTAGCATTAGCATAATAATTAGCTTATCTAGATTAGCATTAGCATCAAAATTAGTATTAGCATTAACATTAACAATATTAACATATAGTATTAGTAATAGTATTAATAATAGTATTAGTATTAATATTAGTATTAGTAATAGTATTAGTATTGGTATTTGTATTAGTATTAGTATTAGTATTAGTATCAGTATTAGTATTAATATTAGTATTAATATTAGTATTAGTATTAGTATTAGTATTAGTACAAGAATTAATATTAACATAAGTATAAGTATCCGTATCAATATTATTATCGGTATCAGTATAAGTATCAGTATCAGTACCACAATATGTATCAATATTATTATCG